ATTTCCATGAAACTTTCAGGATTTCTGTAAAATCACTTGAACCTTACGCGTCTTTTTCTGTTTTGATGACGTCACTTCCGGTCCGGAGATATTGTCGTTTTAATGATTTTTAAAGGGTCGAGTTGTCCGGAAATTTTCTCAAGAATGGCTTTAGATAGAATCATGAAATTTTCAGGTATGATAGACCTATGTCTGCAGATATGCGTAAGGCATTTCATTTTTACCAGAAATGCCGCACGTCGGCGCTAGCTAAGGTCCAAAAATGTCAAATCGAAAATTTCAAAATTTTCAACGCTTTTTCTACAATCGCTTTTTACTTGTTAATAATTTGTTAAAACATGTAGAACAAAATTTGTTCAAATCTACAAGATCTTTCATCCAATATCAACAAAAAGGGGCTGGCCCCTAAAATAAGGGATCTAGATGGGCCGAAAAGTTTTTCTTGGTATTACAAAAACGAGCAAAAATTTGTGATACATTATTGAAGCAAAGTCGTTCAAAATAACAAGTGGCAGCTGGTGAAATCATTAAAAGTCGTCTAATGACGTCACTTCCGATAAAACCGGAAGTAATGAGAAAATGCATATTTTGAAGTTTTGTACACGTTATTGCGTGTTTTGAGTCATTGGAAGCCTCCAAACTCATTTTTTGCCGATCGACGTCACCTCCGGTCAAACCGGACGTAGTCAGAATAGGCTTATTTTTGTAGGTATTGGCAGGAAATTGAATGGTTAAAGTCATTGGAGACGTCCGACTTTATTTTTTGTCAATCGACTTCACTTCCGGTCTTACCGGAAGTAGTAACTAGTGGCTTCTTTTTACCAAATATTTCCTTGTAAATGAATGATAAAAGTCCATGAAGATGTCTCACATCATTATAAGTCGAATACTCTTTAGAACTGTTCTTTCTTACATACTAATTTGCAATTATGTCCTTCATTTTATTCACTGAATTGGACGGAAGACCTGCTTGTTGCTCCAGCAACGAGCTTTGCTCTAGTTTGTTCATATTTTTGAATTCTTCAATGCAGGCCCTTCAATTATCAAAGACCTAAATACATTTAAAACAAATGCCTTATTTATTTTATATATTTTATTCGAGTTGGCAGGTATTGTCCACAGTGGACTACACAACAGTGGGGCAGCCAGCAAACTGGCACATTCCTCAACATAAACAACTAAGTTGTGCCCTCCCTGACAGGAAAAGTAGCACGCTGGGTTGACACATTTCAACACAAATTACCTTTAATTATATTTATTATAATTAAGAGCAATTCTCCGTAATGACTTGAACTTTTATATAGGAGCTGTGGCACGCATAGTCTCAGAATTTCTCCAAACTCTCTATGATAAAAGTCTTTGATACTGTAAACTCAAATCAGGCAAAAATTAGTTGCTACGTTTCATGGTTACCATAGCAACATGTCCTAAAATTTGAAAAATTGCATTTTTCAACATGTTCAGAGTTCCACAGTTAACGTTTTCAGCAAAGCAAACAAGTGACAATGACTGTTTCTGAAAGTTGAAGGCCTGGTGTCTTAAATGCATGATAAACATGTTTGGTAAATCAACTATAACATACGTTACTATGGAAACAAAATATTCAAAAGTAATAATTTTGTTTATTTAATTTTATAAAGTCATACACTTAAGAATAAAAACAATTATAGGTTGAAATGCAAGCAAATAGTAGACAAGAGATCCTTGTAACATATACCAAGGACGAAATAGGATATTTCTGATAGGTTGGCAATGGTTGCCATGGTTTTAATACCACGAAGGGGTTTTAAATTCACTTTCTTAGTATTTTAATCTTATCCTATATTTTTAAAAAGCATATTTCTATATAACTGATGATCAATTTTTAAAGGCGTTAGTGCGACCCTTATTTTCACATTTCGAAAAATTCGATTTCAATTCTTTAAATAGTGCGTTGCTATGGAAATAAGGCGAAAAAACATGCACAAAAATCTGAAAAATACTCTGTTTCCTTGGATACGTACCCTTGTATGTAGATTCCCAAAACTTTAATGATTGATATATGTGAACAACTAACCTGACATTCAATTTTGACCATCACCCAATCTCTAATTGGATGCAAAAAGCTGGCACAAAGGGTCTAATATTGACATAAAATTAACAAAATCGAACATTTTCTCTTCTTGGTAACCATAGCAACAGTGTTGTATTTTTCAACAAACTGTATCAATATATGATATTCAACTTTAGTTCTACCAGATAAGTACTATTCAAGGGGAGTCAAATAAAAATGTTCTTGATTAAAAGGTTCCTAAAGCAGCAAAAAAAAAATATCACTTTAAACAACTGGTTCGTTGTTTCCATAGTTACACTGCAAAGTAACAATTAATCCCAATTTTTCTCATGTTGTCGGTGTTGCAAGATCCTAAGAACGTATATGTGCCAGGCATGAATTTCATTGTTTTTCCTCAAGATAGTAGAATTAACCCAATCATAGCAACAAATTTTGCATGGTTACACTGTGTTACCATGGCAACCATGAAAGTTATTTTTAGAATAATATTGTCAATACCTAATAACATAAGATCAAATAGTTTTCATTGTTTTTCTTAGGTTGTTGATTGAGTTTGATCATGTAACATCTATCATTTGTAAATATTGAGCGTTTTTCAGCATTTTCAGTATCTAAAATGTATTCCAAATGTACCCATGGTTACCACTTACTTAGAGATAAATTCTAAATAGTTTCTTTATAGCATAAGAGGCAACAAGGTGTCATGTTTTTGGGAGAATGGTTTGTTTGCTTTTCTTAGTCTTTATTAAGGCTTAATAAAGATTTGAAGTAGCTGAAAATCTCAATTTTTCAATTTTACTGGCTTTTACCATGGCAACCAAGACACATAGCAACGAAATTTTATTTGATATATGTTTCTGGTGTCCAGTTGTAATAATGGGCAAAGTTTCATCAAATTCGGTGACCATGCGTGGCAAAGAAGTTTAAGTGGTTACACGCAGCTATGTTAAGGCTTCCCGAAGCTTTAAAATGTGCTCAAAACATAATATTTCACTGCGAGGTCGGTTTTGGTTTTAATTCCAAAGTTTTGTACTTTAGTACGTCCAATTTGTATAGAGGGTTCCCTCGGCTTTATATTAACATGTTTGTTATGATATCACATGACTTTGTTGATCACGTGACGGTCATTTATAATTTTTCGAAGTGCTTCACATAAATCGCTTCGGCGCAACTGATTAACACAATAATTATTAACATTTTGTTATATAAATAAACTCATCGTTTCCTTGTGTATCCGAAATGTGCTTGGGAAAAGTCATAGTATTACTTGGGTACAAAATATTTCGTGAGGAATACAACTTACCTACAAATTTGAGGGTATTTTCCACAAAATATCGTAATCTGTATTAAAACAAAGCCATCACACATTTTTCCCAAGCAAGATTCAGTTAGAGAACAACCTCTTCTTACAGATTTCCACAAAAAATCTCAGATTAATCCTCATTAATCACCTGCGCCAGACTCTTTTATACACACAAAATAAATTCTACCTCAAACCACGGGGTACATTTCAAAAGGAAATTTTTCGAAAGCATTTTGAACATGATGAATTTCAATCAAGGGTACGTAAGCGATGTATTTTTAAAATATTCAGACATATAAGACTTAAAAAACCTTTAACGACCCTTTTATTTTGCAAAAGCTATCTAGCATTTTACATGCAATTTAAAATAAAGTGTAAAATTCATGACATTCTCCCCGTCATAACACCTCAAGTTGGCATTGACTTGACGTCATTTTCCATTATGACGTCATATTTAGGTAGTTCAGAGGAGTGAAGGCACAGAGTGCACTGTGATTTTCTACGGGAAGCCTTAACCTACCTGCGCAGAGAATCGCTTTTAATTATATCAATTATATTACATAATGTTCCTATAGATTTACTCTATATGATATATAATTTTCAAAGTCAACATCACATATATCAGGGTTCTCCATGGACCGTTTAACGTGGCGGCCCCGCCACAGTTAAATTCCTTAGCGCCACAGTTAAAAAAATCAGCGCCATAGTTCCGCCACAGTTAAAATTTTAGCGTCACAGTAAGATCGTCGTCGACCGTAAGATAAATATATAAATTTGTAAACCAAATGGACCTCCAAATTATGTACCGTTTTTCAGTTTCTAATGCTAAACCTTTAATTTACTCTAATTAGGGCCCATTGTTTGGCTTGCACAAGCAATTATCTTCTAAACCTCGCTGGACACTTGAATGAAAAGAGACAAGCCATTTTCTCCACACATTTCACGTTAATTGCAAATGAAATTTTTAACATTAATTAATTCATGTTTTAATAGTTCTACAGATAACCACTTCTCCAAAATTGCTTTGGCACTGCGTGTCAAACATCGCACGTATATCGTAATCATATATTTTTGCAATGTTGAAAAATAAACGATAGATACACCAAAATAATATTTTATGACTCTAAACTGCTGAAGTATTTTTTTTAATTCACAAATTTTAAGATATTTCAGCCTTCAGGCCGAAAATTGCAAATTTATATAGATGTTAGCGTGATTGTGTGACTTACCAGAATTTCCTCCGTCCTCTAATGAACACTATATAATTTACCTTCTGTAATTTTTTTTAAAAAGGGTTTAATATTGCTTAAAACTTGTTGATACTGGTACTTTTAGTTTCAGATATTAAAAGCTAATATTTGTTTCTTTATAAGTACATATACGTATGTGTTTGGGAGGGGGGTTCTTTTTCACAGTATGCATATATTTTGGAAACATCCAAATTTTTGTTTTACACGATGTTTAATCAATATCGTTTAATTACTTTTATTATTAAATTTAATAATCAATTTGCCAAATAATAAATATAATTTTATATTAAACTATTGATTCATGGGGGTTGTATGTTTTTCAATTTATTTCTCGGTTCCTTCGCGAATAAGGGCTGTAAGTCTCGTTTAGCATCACTTCCGGTGATGTATTTCCGGTGACAAACAAAATATGGCTATATCGATACAATATTGGGCGAATTATACAGCCGAGAAACCGAAGTTGATGAGAAAGTCGGAGAACGCCGTTATTTGTAACCATGTTCTAAAATTTTTATTTGACCAAGAGACGAAAATGATCCATGCAGTTGTACAAGCTTCGATGAGGAACACATCATATAAAGTCACGGTAAGTACCAAGGTTATTGTTTACGTTTCCGTTAACATCTCTGACAATTAGACAATACTGAAAACATATTGTAATCTGTAAAGCTTTTAGAAATAAGACAGTGTTGGTTTCCCTCCGGACACCCCTCCCGATGTCCCAATACCACCATGCTGAAGATAACTGGATATCGGAAAGATGGGGGGGGGGGGGGTCATCATTAAATGTGATGTAATGTTCTCTGTTTCGGAAGTGTTCATATTCAATATTTAAAGAATAAACATTCGAAAAATGGAAAGGACATTTGATACATCTCTACTGGTTATTTTGAACAGAACATATTGTCAGATGTAAAAAATATTAAACACTGTTAAATATTTGTAGTATAATGATTGTATAGTAGACTTTATATATATATATATATATATATATATATATATATATATATATATATATATATATATATATATATATATATATATATATATATATATATATATATATTTATATATATATATATATACATGTATATATATTGTATCATACAGGCAATTTTAGGAAGTTCTTATGAAGTCTCTAACACATCATGTGAGTGCCCCCTGGGAAAATATGAGTGTCATCATGTTGCCTCTGCATTACTGTATGGGTAAGAGATACATTTAACATATTTAGCATACAAAGTCTAATGACCAGAAGATTCAAGATTATTTACATGTATTTCAATCATGAGCCAGAAGGCTGAAGTGATACTTTATTGGTAAACCATGAGACATAAATTCACAGATACAAATGTGTGAGCAAGACTGACATAAAGTGTGGGTGGTTAAAGAACCCAAAGACGTCAATTAAAAAAGACATAAAAACAATGGAAGAATTGTTTCCCCCTGCACGCCAAGATTACTGGTAAGTATTTATATTTTAAACATTTTACTGTCAGTGAGGCAATATGTATTTTCTTTTAAATATAGTTATTCATATACTTGCAATTATTCATTACATATAATTTTTTAAAAAAACATATCAATCATTAAAAATATATATCAATCATAAAACATTTGCTTCACATTTGAAGTGCTTTAAGCCGCCCCTTTGATGAAAGTGACCGGTGTTTTTTGCACCAAGAATAAGCAAAGCTTGGAAGGTTTATTGGTAAAATATAAGAATGAAATTATGATTTTGATGTTATTGTTGTTGTTATTTGAATTTGATTTGATTGTTACATTAAGAATGTTATGATATTGTTATTTTGATTCTGTCCGTTGGTTGATTTTCACTGTATGAAAAGCAGGTAAATGTACAAATGTACAAAGATGAGGAGCATATTGTTGGCTTTGTATAATCTGTCCAATTTTTTAACCTACTAGGTAATAAATAAGAATCTTTGCATAATTGGACAGGTAATAAATATGATAGCATTTTTATATATACATTTTTTGAAAGGAATAAATCTCATTTAACTCTTTTCCCTCTGTTGCCACCATTTGACGCACTTGCCATTTCCCTAGAGTTTATAAAAAAATTTTGCAAATCGTCAGGTCATTCTTCTATTATTCTAATAGAATATGTCAGTATGAAACCCTGAAATAAGTTACATGTAGTAAATGTTAATTGTACATTTGCACCAATTTTTCCTTGGCACATCCACACTAAGGATGTCACATGCAAAATTATATATAGGAACAATTCTGAACAAATATTGGCAAGTGAGTTGTAATTTTGAAATGTAATGCATTCAAATGAAAAAAAAATTACAGTGTTCACCAAAATTAAATGCATGATCTATTAGATAATAATTACCTGGAATATGCATGTGGATATTATTTTTGAGAATGACACAAGTCTGGAAATTTTTCAGCATTAAAATGGATTCTTGAACCAGAGCCATGTGAGCCAGGCCCACCTGTTCCTGTCATTGAAGACCTGTTAACATCACCAGAGTATGTTCATTCTGATGCCCCTATGGTATGGTTAAGACATGCATTATCCCTGTCAGAGGAAGCCATTAAAAGAACAGCATTAGCAACAATTGGGCAAAGGAACAACCCGATGTGGTCGATTGTAAGAAAATACGGAATAACAGCTTCCAACTTTGGTGCAGTTCTCAGTTCTAAGCAAAGACGGTAAGACATGTGTGATTCAATTTTTTTCAAAATAGACTTTCAAAGTACAGTTCAACTTTGTTATCTCAAACATGATATCTTAAATACCATGGATATGTCAAAGCAATTTTGAAGTCCTAACCAGTTATTATAGACATATTTTATTCTCGATAAATCAATTAAATCCTTGTGTATCCCAAATCCTTGGATATCTCGAACTTTTTTCTTGGTCCCATTGAGTTCAAGATAATGACGTTTGACTGTAATGACTAGATATATATAGATGCAGGGTAAATTATTTGATCAATAACCAAATAATCATATTTTCTTCTTTAGAGTGACATTGTCACTGAAGAAACGGTTTATGTCGGCTTACAATCTGGAGTCCATCAAAGCTGTGGCATGGGGTATCACTCATGAAGATGATGCTTTGAGAAAGTATGAAAACGACTTTGATGCAGCTATAGAGCAATCAGGTATACAGCAAAAAAATAATATTCCTTCAACCCCTCACAGAATGTTAAAATTCATTGTGTCAAAACAAATGATGCTAGTGACAAGTAGACAATTAAATACTGAAGTCTAATTGTAAAAAAAAGTATTCAATTCATTTAGTGATCGATGTATTACAGAAAATTTGCTGGGAATAGAGATCTACTTAAAGTACCCCAGTACCACTCTGTACAAGCATATCGATGTACTGTATTTGAAGTTGAAGGAATTATAAATGCTCAACTTAGACTTTGTGTGCATTACAATTGTATTATGGTTTGCATTCAGTAGTATTACATTTTTTTCTGAAAGGGATAGGGTTGCATGAATCCGGAGTGTTGGGAGCTTCACCTGATGGCTTAGTTGTACGACCACCAACATGTAGTGTATTTTATCAAACTCCAGAAGCCAAAGATGCCATTCCTGATATTGTAGAGGTGAAGTGTCCATATACAGCATCGTCTTCAACAGTAGCAGATGCAGCACAAAATTTGAAGGATTTCTTCATAGGTAAATAATAATTTATAAGTTGGATTTAAAAATCTGTTTTGTTCATTATTTTAAAATTAAAAATCTAGATGAGTAAATGATCACAATGGATACATGTATTAATTTAAAAGTGCAACTGTTCAACATAGTATGAAGAGATGGAAAAGGGAGGGGATATGAATAGGCATAACACAACATTAAAAGACTTTTTGATTTTTAGATATTAAACAAGATTCCCTGTGTCTGAAAACCAGTCACCCATACTATCATCAAATTCAAGGCCAGCTACATATATGTAATAAAACATGCTGCGACTTAATTGTGTGGACAAGAGTAGACTGCATTGTGATTAGAATAGTAAAAGACACTGAATGGACTGCAAATGTTTCAAAGCTAGTAGATTTCTACATTAACATTTTCATTCCAGAACTGATGGAAAACTGAGTTCTGGTTTCTCATGTATTTTGACACTTGTTTCTGTATCTCTAGAATTTTCTCACAGTGCAAAACGAGTAATTCATCTTAAATGTGTTGAAAATTCCAGTTATTCTTGTATGATGTGATATATCACAATTCATCAGAAAACTTCTGGCTTATAAGAGTATTTTAAATAGCAATGGTGTTTAATTTAATCATGTACTACAAATAAAAAAATAATAAAATTTATCATCATTTTATTAATGAATTGAAGATGTTATTCTCAATGTGGAAATGTATTATTTTTTATCATCGTTAGATAAATTGTTGAATGTAATACTATGCTGTTGATTTGTGCTTTAAAGGTACATTTACTTGAAACTCAACAATTAAAATTTTAAGCAGACCCTCTTCCAAATTATATAGTAAAATATAGTTACAGCAAACACCCTTGTAATAAATTCATGCTAACAAAGGGATTTTCATTCCCTGTAGTATTAAAACATACTATGAACTTGACTAAAATAATCATTGACATTGATAACAAATCAAAATTTGTTTATCCCTGGCACTTTGGTATGAACATTTTTACTGTAGTGATGTATAATGTAACAGACTGTCAAAAACCAATGCAGATTTATAATATGTAATTTTTTAAGCAATTTCTTTCAAAAGTGGAGCTTGCAAGTTTACAAGACAAGAACAGAGTTGAAATATTTTTGTTGAGATTGGTCTGTAAGTAGATGGGATGTGACGAAGAATCTCATAGTTCTTTATCCTCTCGTTGGCTCTTTCCACATGAATGCGTGCTTTAGCAATCTTGTAACACAGTGCTGCTTCTTGTTTGGTAGACTGGCCTCGTGTCGATAAAAAAGCTGGTATATTTAAACAGACACCTTGGGGCAACTGATGAATGGTGAAACCTTTGTCGGCCAAAATAAGGTCTCCAGCTTTAAACTTTTGTAGGACCTGACTGTGGCGTACAATAGCTACATCAGAAGTAGAACCTGGATACAGCTTAGAGCAAAATGTAACTGCACCGTTTGGAGCCACGCAAGTCACTGCTTTAACAGTATGTCGACTTTTGTAGGTACTGTAGGCCATGGCCTGACTGTCCATATGTGTTGGGATGTCCTGGGTAGTTTCAATTGCATCCATGGAAGCTCTAGCAGAGGAGAAATCCTCAAAAGATTTTGGCATAGACCCTGAAAAAAAGTTGGAAAAAAATTAACCCAATGATTTGTAATTGTGTAAAAAAAAATGTGTTACAGTAAAACTTCCAAGTATACAAGAATTTTAAATGCATTAAATTTTTGGAAGTCATTATGATAAGTTTTAAAACAAACCTTTGCATTAAAGTTGACTTGGAAAACATTCATTGACTACGCCATCAGACAGCATCTCGTGTAGTGCATGAACAAGGGTATGGAAGATGTTCGAAATTGTTGGTCGACTGACACAGAATCTATGGGCCAAGTCAATGTCCCGAAGATTGAGTTTTAACTTCATCAGTACAATAAGTAGTTGGTCCTCTGTTTCCATTGAAGGAGTCCAGCCATTATAGTAATCGAGTTCAAACCGTTGTAACAATCTGACTAAGATTTCGAATATGTCATACTGTAGGGATGTATATAAAAGCATCTGAAAATAAATATATTTTACTGATTAAAATAAATCTAAGAACTTTAAAGATTGTAGATAAATTAGTTTCAAGTAATAACAATATCAGTCTCAGTCAGGTTTACTACCATCCACATTATGCATTCAATTAAAACTGGTAATATGAGACAGAGAGATTGAAATTATCCCTAGTGGAAAAAATGATTATTGTAGAATGACCACACAGTCTTAATTACAGGTAAAACGCCTTCAACTATCAAGCAAACTTAAAAATTGTGAACCTAAATTAAGAGTTCTGATAACTGTTATCATACAGTAAAACAAGGTTACAGCAAAATATGCTTTTGATGTTATTCACCCTCACAGTGAAATGATTTTTCATTCCTATCATTTTAAATTATGTATATTATGAACTCAACGGTGATAACAAAATATATTTACAATCAATCAAAGTTGTTCATCCCTCAATGGCACTTCGCAACAAGTTTCACTGAAATTGTTAGGAAATAGGAAACCATAATTGGAATTACTTCATGTACCTTCTCTTCACTGTCCTTAATATCGTGAATTGACATTGGCTTTCTTTTACTAGACTCTAATCTTAGCGCATGTAATTCCTTTTCCAGGTGTTCTATTTCTGTTGAGAAACGCTGCATTCCTTGAGTGCAGTTAAATGTGCAGGATGCTGAGTAGTTGTGCTCTGATATCAACTGAAAAAATATAATTGGAAATATACTGTGAATCATGAGTAATTCAATCAACAGTTAAGAAAACTATTATATTATTAAAAATTATTGAAAATGTTTTTATGTTGGCCATTTGTCATCAATGGTGTTTTAAAGGAGCTTTACCTTCTCTTGATCTTGACATTCTGTCACATGTGTAATCTGCAGCTGGTCCATCTGTGAAGATGATAGAGACTCCTCACTTCTGATTTTTTTCCTCCTTTGTAAAATAATTAAACTCGGATTATTTTTCATTCAGTTGTAACTTGTAAGCTACTCTGTTGATACCCTATTTAAGATTTTTAGTAAAATATTCTCAATTAAATCCCACCCACCATCCAAAACAAAGATGTCATATTTTGAAAAATAATTTCACCTTTTGGTACATTCAGGATCAGAGAAATCCATAGCCTTTCCTTCATTCCATGCAAAATATGCAGGACCCCCCTCCTTCACACCATCCTTAAAATGGCAGGAGCAGATACGATCATTCTGATACCCTGGTTGGCGATCAGCTCGTCTATAAATATTTTATACAAGGACTGAGTGAAGGAGAATTAAAAAGCAATACATGTACATATGATAATTTAGTGGCATGTTATTAATTATCAAATCATAGCCCAAATGACTAGTAATATTTTTTCCACTTTTTCAAATGCTATAAACTTGCAAATACAAGATAACCCTGTGCATAACATCACCAAAGGGCAGCAGTACTTGGTAGTAATAACATGATATAAAAGGTTATAAAAACAGCTGATAAACAAAAATGCGCTTCTGCTGCATGTACAATAGATAAAGTATTCAAGCCTAGATTGTATGTTGTACTCTTCTGCAAATTACATAAAACTACAGAGGGCAGCAGAAATCAGCGCTGCAGGATTATAACACATTTATCCACTTCTGCAAACTGCAAAGTTTTTACAGAATTCTCTTCATTATTCTTCTGCTATATTGATTACGATGAGATTTAACATTTTAGCAAGTATGTATAAATATCTGACAATGCAGCATTGTGACATATCGTCACAAGTACTTACAAATTTGGTCAATATCTCTACGTTTTCTGAGCTTTTTCCTTATACACTGTAGCAGGCCGAAATATCTCGACCATGTTTAACACTCACGCATCTCGTGATTAATGCTGTAATAAACAAAACTATTGTATTTTTCTCACCTGCATAGTTTCCCCCACAACAATCGTTTCTTTCCGTCTGTGGGAAAGCGATAAAACTTGCAGCTGTTAGCCCCACTCCGGTGGTTGCATGCGAATGCAAAACATATCACCATTTTTGTTTGTCACCGGAAGTATTCAAATCTCGCGCGCTCTCGCTTACGAGCTTACAGTCCCTATTCGGTCGCGAAATGACCGCGAATATTAGCACTTCGCGTAAGTCTTGCGCCACAGTTAAATTTGAAATGATGGAGAACATTGATATATCAACATCAACCATCACATATATCAACATCAACCACAACAAGTCAAGAATATAAATAGTTCAATGGTTAAATTGAAGGTGACGATTTCGCCACCTGGTGGGGGTAGGCAACTTCAATTTAACGACCCACTGTGGACTTCTCAAAACCCTCAGCACCCCACCCACTGTGAATACCACTTTCTCATTGTCTATCTTCAATACCAGATTAAATAGATTCTTTATTAACCATCCCTGCTGTATCAAGATAAAATATCTGGTTTCCCTACAAATTAAGTGTGCCTAACAACACCCCACCCCCTCCCTGGAATCTAGTACAAGTTTTTGTTTATTCTGCTTATTACCCTGATATTTTTAGTAACACCAGGTTATTTTTACTGAGACATGAATAAGAACTAAACTAGTCTGGTGTAAGAAAATATGTTGAAAATACCAATCTCTAATCCCCACTTACCCTATTCTTGTATTTTTATTTATTTGACTATTCATTTGTTTGTTTATTTAATTTTTTAAAGTAATTTAGAAAGTTCTAAACTACTTTCCAGCTGAGACTGCAAACAAGTAATAAATAAGCACAAATCCTCTTTAACCCCTCCCCCTCCCTTTTCCCATCTGCACATGGCTGTAGTTCCTGCATTGTTGACAATGTTGCAATGACAAAATTTTAATGTTATTACATTCCCATTTTGTAAATTGCAAAACAGATTAAGGGATACCTATCTCCCTGTTATCTTTATTTCTTAATCTGGAAAACCATTTTTGCTCAACAGTAGCTGGACTGGTTCTAAAGGAATGAGGTTATACCACTTATTTTTGAAACCAAGCTCTGCCAAGGCCTCTCCATTTAAAATTGATTAAAACATATACTAATTACCTTCCATCCCAAGAGACACAATGGAGGACTATGAAATGTTTCCAAAGTATTTGTAGATGTATATGTACTGCACCAGGCATGAAGTACCTATATGACTAAATTCAATATTCCAAACCCTTGCCCAGCTGATGCTCTCTCAAAATCTGCAAATTGTCACCTTAAATTTCTTACTTCAGGAATACTGAAACTGTAACAAAAATTCAGAATAGGTTACCCCCATCCCTCACCCCAAGTCAAAAATATGGTAGAGACTAGGTTGTGGGAAAAATTATGGACTTCAAATTTAAATATGCATAATTATATGAAGGCCAGCATATAAATTAATTGTCCAGGTATGAGCTAAGTCAGTGGCAACCTATCCTTTATTTAATACCCGAAAATGCTGGGGAAGTTTTGCTAAAATGAATCTTTAACTCCTTCAGATTTGCATTTGTACGCACCAGTTGATACATGGATGTAAACTATATATGCATTGACGATGCATCTGAATCACCTATGACATTAAGATATAAACATAAAGTAAATGTATGCTAACTGCTCAGTTAAGGGGTGTACACCAATGACATATATGTAATTAATGGCAACTGGGTTTGAACTGATATTTTTTAAAGGAGAAATGCCCATTAGATATATGCATGATATGTGTCAGCAGTTTTTGTAGAATTGCTGTCTTTAACAAACCAATAGCCTCATTTCTGACAACAACATACAAAACATTGCAGGAAATGGATTAGATTCTATTCAATTCAGGTCTGTAGAACAATATATGTCTAACCACCACCCACCACCCCTTTCAGCCCCATGAATTTGCATCTGCTAGCATAGCAGATTAATAGTAAATCTTGTCTTACGATTAGTTTTTTTTAATCTTTTGTATTTCATGATGAATAAAACCAGTTTCCCAAACATATTACCTTTTGTGAGTTTAAGAACCGTGAATTAAAATTTGAAGTAAAGCATTTTTTTCCTGAGGTTAAATTACAAATCTTTTTATTTTCCCACTTAGAGACATAACAGAAACCATCAATGACCAAAAATTAGGCCCCAAATTAACATAACCTTTTATTATAGCCTTTTTTCCCCTAACTGCTTGACCATTGATCAATGCTCCTTCCCCACCAAAATAAAAAAAATACATCCACAGCCCTGTCCCGATATGCCTGCATGACCGTAACAATTTAAGAACCCTATAATTCATTCCTTTTGTCAAAACTAAGTTACTCAGGTAAACTTGTAAAAGGTCAGGAAATTTAAGTTGCATAATCATATTTTAAGGTTCATTAACTCTCTGATAAGACACATAACTCAATGGATTAAATGAGCATATTCCTAATAATCTTGTCATTACTTAAAATGTCTTTTGTGACAATTTTATCCTGAAGCTATGCTAAAATTATCTGCATTTCATTTTACCTATTTATCTTATTTATTTTTATTTATTTACATAGACTTGTATTTGTAGAATTGCATGTATATTCGAACCTAAAAGGCCCTTGTATGCCTAAAAATATCGAACAAGACCAGAAGCTTTTATTACATTGAAAGAAAACTCCAATGATGAAATTAGTCCCGACATGTAAAACCAAACACTTTCCCAAACCTAAACGAGAAATATTCTATATGTATATAATGTGAGAATAATGTAAGTTTATTTGAGTTTTTGAGGTTAACTTGAGAAGGTACGTACAAAACTTTTACTTAACACAACTCTATAAATTTATGTATCATACCCAAGGGGCCTTAGGGGGCAGGAGAGAGAAGACAATAAACGTGTTATCATTAAACCTTCACTCAATTAAAGTACAGGGTCTATTAGAGACGTTCATAATTATGCAAGGTGGACACAGCTTTGAAAATGACTCAATAGCCCGAACCTCCTTGATTTCCTTTATAATCTTAACTGAAATATATATATATATATATATATATATATATATATATATATATATATATATATATATATATATATATATATATATATATATATATATATATATATATATATATATATATATATATATCTGGAATGTGTCTTTTACCCCATATTAATCTGAACCCATTTGTTATCCCGACAAGCAAAATAGTAGCTAGCCTTGATAGAATTTTAGTTAATTATTAAAAATATGGGGAATCCTATCTATCCTAACTGGTGAACAATTGCGTTTTTAAATTGCGATGCCCTTCTTTTATTGGTCTGGTGGAGGCCGAAATTGTCCTCCTTGCCAAGCCCTATTAGAGAAGCGAGAGCCTGATAGGTGAGGATGCTGCTGGCTCAAATTTGACTGTAATGTGGATTTGGCGGACAATGTAAAATTCGACTTAGGGTGCTCATGCCCCCATTTTAAATAGTCTAAATTGCTCATTGTAATGCTTTCCATCTAACTGATATTTATGTCTCAAATATATCAAGTCATCATTCATGCATTCATTTTTTCCTACCTAGAGTTTTGCCACTACACGTGACAACAGTACACATCTACTTCATGTTTTATTCATATACATATAATGCATTATTGTAATACAACATTGTAAAGCACAACAACTTGCTCTGCATGTATTTTACTTAACACAATTTTATCTCACAATTAATGACTGCCTTTGTATACAAATGTATCTTTTTCATGCCTCTCTTGGAGGAGGAGGGGGGGGGGGGGGCTTGATTGGAAATAAACTATTGTCTATATATAAACTTAAAAATAAACAGTACTTCCCTTTGTGAATTCGCTATATAACATTTGGATGGCTGCAATAGATTTACTGTATTTTAATTAATTTTCAATCTGTATTTATTTACTTACTGCTTTAAAGGTACAGGGTAGCACTATCCTTGTACAATACCTTTTTTGGCCACTAAATGTTTTAAGTATTAAACTGATAAATATATATATAACAAATCTATGTAACAAAAGCCAGTGTGAGAATTATATGGATATTCCCCTAAAGAATGTGGCCAAGGGACATACGTATCTAAAAATCGATAAGTGTTTGACCTTGAAGAAAGGGTACCGAATAAATATGAAGTTTAATAATCATCACTTTCACGTTGGCACTCTTTTTACGATTATTCAACTAAATAACCTTTTCTTTATTCAAAATCTTTTGATGAAATTTGTTATTGAAATTGTTATCCCTTGTAACATGTGCCAGTACAATGGAAGGACGGGGTGGCAAATCGATCTGTTTTCATCCAATCAAATATTCGCCATCGAGCGATATAAATGTCAATAAAATAATAAATGCTACTTATTTCGACTGAAAATTAAAATTTAAAAAACAGAAATTGTGATAGACTATTTCAAAATACCTAAATCAGATACTTTCATCATCCACCTTTCACTTTCATTGATGCATAGAAAAGGGAGATAACCCGGAAACATAGTGACTAAGTACCGACACTGTATGGGTGGATAACTAAATTCTGACTTTACTCAATCATCAGTTTTTCACAAATTAAGAGGCGAATGATGAATTAATAACAGGGTAGAGCTTTGATAACGACGCATATTGTGAGACGTGCTCAATATGCGGTATTATTTGAAGAAAAGTGTAAGTCGTAAAAGACGTAATATTTGCAATATGGTGTATAAAACACCTAGAATCTTAGCAATTTGCCTAGTATAGCAAGAGAGAGAGAGAGAGAGAGAGAATCAAACTATTAAAGTTTAGTTCGAATTTCCTCTTCACCACCATAAATTTACACTTGTTCTTCCATATTTTCTCCCAATATGGAAATATCAAATTTTTTAAAATTGTTATTGAGTTAAAACAATGTAATTTAACCATTTAGATTAACTTTTGATTTAAGATATTGTACTTTAAAGCATTACATTTCTATTAACTGAAACCCTGAGAAAACGTCTTTCTTCAGACAGCCTCTAGACATCTGCTTTATTCACATGTCCGTATGTAACGATATGTGCCTGTATATAATCAAACCCATTTTCTTATGGCATTCATATAAACATCAAATTGCATCAGTTAAATATTATACAATTATGGACTCTTTCGGTGGTGAATATGGTTTGTTATTCACCAGAAAAATA